CACCCTCCGACTTCCATCTCTTTGGGCCACTTAAAGATGCTATCCGCGGAACAAGATTTGAAGATGACGAGAGCGTGATTCAAGCAGTGAGGACATGGCTACGTGCACAGGACAAGAGCTGGTACCGGCAAGGCATGCATGCACTTGTTCCACGCTGGCGTAAAACCGTACAAGTTGATGGGGACTATGTGGAAAAATAGTATGTGTAAAGGAAACATTGATTTATATTGTCACTAAATTTCAGCCATCTTGAATAAATATATTCTGAGGAAAAAAATGTGGGGCATTATTTAATGAGCAACCCTCGTATGATAGTTGAAATACAGAGGATTTAATTTAATTTTGATGCCTTCTTTGCTTGGGTTTACAGTAAATGATCTCGGGCAGACTTGATGTTGGTTTGTGATCAAATATAACCTCATCTTTACATCACAAAATAACATTTGTATGCTTTTCCTCAAAAATGGCTTATTATACAAAATTTGTATTCATGATATAACACATAGATGGATCTCATTAAAATCCACAACTTTCATTTGAAATGTTTTTGATATTTTGAGTAATCGACAAAATGTGAAGATAATAATGTCTGATTGTGCAGAATGGGATCAGTAGTTTGATTAAATTTGCAGGAGTGAATTTATATCTGTAGTAAATGAGCATAAAAGCCAAACCAATATGGAGAATTGCAGAAAATTACATTTCAGTTCTTATTAAAAGCACGTAAGCTAACTGGGTCAATTGCAGTCATTTGTTTTTGTAAAAATATTAATATATATATTGAGGCTGTGTGTAGTATTGTGTTGACTGTATTTATAAAACTATTGACTCACGTTGAATGTTATTTGAGTGCCAAGGACACTTGACTTATAACTGTTTTGTTCACCTTTGGCAGGGAAGAGTTGAAAAGAAAGGTGTCTGACAGAAGTCTGCAGTATGCCAAACAATTTCCAACATCTAAATTGGGGTCTTCTTAAGGGCTTTCACTTCAGTATAGGTAAGTGAAAAGATTTTATTTTGCTTAATGGGAGATTTTGTAATCTGTACTGTGTATTGTGAGTGGTTACATTCTGAAATCAGCGTTTAGTAATAAGTCTGAGTTTGAATGAAAAGCAGATAACTGGAGATTCAAGGCATTATGTAAGTTGGAACCGGATTTAAAAGCTGGTACTTTACTTATTTCCTGACTTTCTTGGTTGCATTACAGAGCGTCATATTTGTTGAATATGTACATGCGCGCGCGCACACGTGTGTGTGTGTGTATGTAACAGAAATTTGATAGGGATATTTAAACAAAAAGCTTTGGTCAGGAAACCTTGGAAGATATGGATAGTTGTGGACTCTCGTGAGCATGGTAATGAACCTTGAGTTTCCGTAGAAGGTGGTGAATTTCTTGACCAGCTGAGCAGCTATATATTTCTCAAAGAGGACTCTGTTCAATGGCGTCATATAAAACACAAGATCCTTTTATTTGGGTCTTGCACAGGATACAATTGAAATAGGAAACCAAGGTTTAATATTGAATAAACTTCTATTAAACTTTTTTAGATTTGTGTTTTGACATTTATTTTATACACCAGACAGAGGTGAAGACATTTCTCTTTCCCATTACATCCATCCCAACCCAGCTTCATATTGAGAGGATTCTGGAGGTTGTTTCTCTGAGGGAAAAGCAGCTAGTACATCAACCTCACTAACTGCCATTGAATTCAGAGGTTAATATATGATGAGCTTTACCTCCGTGCCTGATATGTGTTTATGTCTCAGTGCTTATGAACACGCAGTTATACCTCAGCCTTCACTCATTGCTGTATTAGCTGAAAAACAATGGATGCCAAATAATAGTTTATTTTAGATTCTTAAAACTTACCTGTTGTTGCTGAACCCAAACAAACATCTTTCCGCTGATTTAAAAATGTTGTAAAGGTCATCAATTCAAAGACAAACATTTTTTATTCTTACTCTTAAATAACTTGGTAAGCTTCAGGAGTCTGATGTACTGTTTTTTAAGTCAGTTTAACTGTATTAAAGTCAGAATATAAATTCATTTTTGAAGTTGTGGATGGTCAGCAGAACACGCTCCATTGGCCCCTATTTAGGATAATAGTACTTGTGCTCAGATATTGTGGGCATTTTTTTCTGAAAATACGGACTGGATGGTCGGAGTTCGATCCCCAGCGGGGGCAGAGGATTTTTCCTCTTGCCTCTTCATCTAGACTGACTCTAGGGCCCACCCAGCCTTCTATCCAGTGGGTACTGGGGTCCTTTCCTGGGGGTAAAGCACGGCCAAATTGCAGGTCTAAAAATAAAGTGCTCAGGAAAATGTTACATCTAAGAGAGATTAGTAGATAATGGAAGGTTTTATATAACAATTAATCTAATTTTTCAATTCACCAAGTACCTCGTCTTTAGGCTAATCAGCTGGACATGTAGCTTTAATGGGGAACCGTTGTTCATCCAGACAAGATTTCAGAAATATACTTGTTGTTGGCAGAGACCAGTAGCAAGTATGGATCATACTAAAAACTATGGACAAATGGATTTTGTTAAGTGGCTAGTTGATTAAGTTGTGTTTCAGGAGCCCTACAAACATAATTTTGGTGAGGAAACCTTTTACAAAACATCCATTTGAAGTTTGAGAAGGCGAAGTAAGGATAGTATTGATGTTACCTTGAATGAAATACCTGGATTTCACTGGCTCAGGATTGTATCAAATATGAGTGGTGTCAGACCTTCAAAGAGTGAATGAATTAGTCATCATGACTATGTATAATTAATTCCCCATCATGATTTTATGTATATATAATGAAATCCCTTTAACATATTAAAGATTCAATTTGTGTAATTCCACAGCTCATTATCTCTGTTAGATTCCCTTTTCACAAGGTTTTTCTCTTATTAGTGTTCAAATCTTTTGTCCTCCAAAGCATTAAATTATGATTTTACTGTATTTGATTCTGTCAAAATTCACATTGCTTTATTTAATATCTACTTTTTAAATATTATTATTTTGGAGATCAAACTTCTGAAAGTGTGTAAAATATGGACTTCCTGTGATGTGTAAAGCGATGGAATTTAATTGTACTCTAATGTTCTTGCATAAACTGTTTCCAGCAAACAAGACAAGAATATTTTATAGTATGAGTTTTATAAAGCATTGACTAACTAATATGTACAGTTTTTGCTGTCTCTTATGTTATTATACAATACCACAGATGTAGTTGGGAAACCTCTTATTTGTGTTCTATATAGTTATTTATTTATAAAGAAATTAAAGAAAGCTTCTCTCCAATAGGATGCAGTACAGTTACATAGTTTGTAACCTTTATTCAAAGATATTACATACAGATTTTAAAAATTAGTTCCCTTGAATTTCACTTTATACAGATTTTGCTATGTAAAATAATATGCCTCTCGTACTTGTTAGTCTTTGACAGCAGATGCCCAGTTACACACATTTATTGAAATATCAAATACGAGACCAAGAGCACACTCAAAGCGAAAAGCAGTAAAGTCTCCAGAGAATTTATGGCACTGATAGAAAATCCGCTTGTCGTTTGGATCTCGAACATAACCTTCTTCAGTGCAGAGTTTTGGTGGATCAGAGGAACCGCTATCTGTTGGGGCATCTGGAGGCTGAAATAAGACAACAACCATTGAATTAACTTAATATCAAATTATATATTACAAAGGAATGAACAGGTTGAAATCTGTGTGAAAAAGCTGTAACTTGAGCTTTTAAAATCAAATGATTCTACTCTTGTGTTTTATAAATATTATGTTGCACATTGCTTTCTGTCTGAGGTATATTTGTATGATCTTTCAGGAAATTTGATATCTACAACCATTTGGGATTTGGCTCTAATCCTCTTGATTCCATCTTCAGGTGACTGGTTGTCATTATCCTGGCAGTTTATATGTCAGTGGTGACAGTTGGGATTGAACATAGGAACATTCCTGTAATGTCTTATATATCGAATGTGTTCTTGTGAATATTAGCTGTGAGTTGCATCACCTAGGTCTGCACACTCACAGTACAAGTCACAGACAGTAGTATCTGAGCCAGTGTTCTAAAAATCAAAGGATCTAGACCAGGGGTCGTCAACCTGGTCCCTACTGCCCACTAGTGGGTGATTCAAGCTTTCATGGTGGGTGGTGGGGGTTTTTGTCCGTTGTTACAAATTTTGTTCTTCCTCCATATATCGAATACATTGCTAACAACTTCGCGAGTTTGACTTTTTAAAATATGCTTTTACAATTTACTTTTTAATTCCATCTCTAAACTTTGAATATAGATAATAATTCACCGGACACTTCTCGAAGTATACTCGTGGACGAGGGAGCAACGAATGAGCTCCGTAGCCGAAGGCACGATTTTAGTGCGCGTAACGAAGGCGGGGCTTACCACCGGCCATCACTCAGTCTTCGAGCTGTACCTCTTTCATGGTGGTGGGCAATATGTGCGGCACCGGTGGGCGGTAAGGAAATTTTACCATCAACAAAGATACAAAAGTGGGCGGTAGGTATAAAAAGGCTGACGACCCCTGATCTAGACCTTCCATGTCAGTTTCCTCTATGTGACATGACCTATATAGGGCACACTGTGGCCTTGTCCCAGATGCAAATTACTGCCTGAAACCCAGGTATCCTGACTGAGTATTTAATGATTTTACTCAGTCCTTCAAAGTAAATGCTGGTTAGGCTGCAACCATTTTCTTCCACATCCTTTACAATTTGTTATTCACTACCATCCTGTCATTCAATGCTACATAGTCTGAGCTACTGAAAACATGTTATTAAATAAACTATAAATAAAACAGAATGGATTATAAAATAGTTGATAGCCTTTTTTTATCACTCCTGAGCTCAGATGAGTTTTTTCATAATGGTGAACTGACAAAACATGATTGATATACAAGAGAAAGCTGTTTCTGTAACTCGGGTGCATGTTGGATATAACATGATCAAAATAAAGCAAATAAATACATTCAGAGAAGTAAATGATAAACATAGGTATAAAAAGGGCACATTAATAGAAAAGATTGCACACAACGGTGTGACACCATCCAAACTCTCTAGCCCGAACCCCTTAATTTCAGTTGAACCAAAAGTTCCTATAACACAATTTTTCCATAATTTAGTGTTTTCCAGGAACACAACTATTGTGTTATAGGAGAAACAGCTGTAGTAGTCTTGTTTTGTTGTGGAGAAGACACTGGGTTCAGATGATTGCCCCATTTGATTTGCTATTCATAACCTTGGTACATACTTGAGTTGGGCTGGTACTGTCTTGGCCTGCAGGAGGTGCTGCTGCTGTGGTAGTAATAGCAGCAGTAGTTGTAGTTGTTGTTGATTTTGATGTAGTGGCTTTACTAGTTGTAGTTGTAGCTTTAGCAGTTGTAGTTGCTGGTTGTGACTCTGATGTTGATTGGTTCTTTGAAGGCTGAAATAGAAGTTCAAGCTTTTTATTAAAAATTTTCTTGGTGATTTTGTTTGATTTAGACCATGGAACGATGTAGTATTTGTATCAATACTGGGTTTTTATGAATTGTATGCAGTATGCATATATATAAACTATATAGTTTAAATGATACATATGTTGACAGTATAAATCCACTCTTTGAAATACTGCACAAAGCAACAGAATAATAGATAATAGCAAAAAATATGTGTATAAAGTAATAGGATTTGATATATAAAGTAGATCAGATCCCTTCAGTGCACAGTAGCTTGCAATACACAGGATGAAACACAACACATGAGTAACCACTTAATCACAGTGTGATACAAGCTTATAAGTAACCGTATGCAACTGAATTAGGTACTGTGTTATATTTAAAATTAAAAATTTAGTTTACGGACAAGCAAGATACAAATATGACAATAGACTAGAGATAAAGGAATAACATGACAAAAATAGAATAAAAAGTGAAACAAAACAAATGACCTTTTGGATATAGTAATCTTAACAACATGTAAACATTAAGTAGAGTGGTAGTAAATAATAACACAAAGAAACTAAAATTTTAATACTACGTTATTAATATAACATGATAAATTTAGCATGGAGATGAATAATATGCAATCATGCATTCCAACAAAACTGTATACACTTGAAAAGACACTTAGTGCCAAATACATTTCGACTTCAAGAGGTCATCATCAGTGGCAAACAAATTAATGAATTTGTTTGCCACTGATTATTTGATATAATTACATTGCTTAACAACTGACTAAAAATATATCAAACAATCATATTTGAAATTGATGACTTTTCCACTCAAGAAATTTAATAACAACAGTAATAAGCATAAAATAATATTTATTTTTATAAATTCATGCGCAGAATAAATTGAGATGTGGGTATGCTTCTGAAAGTATGAGCAGAACAAAGTCAGATACAGAGCCTCAGAAAGTCAAACCTCCTGAAGAGGATCCTTCATTGGCCTTCTTGTCTTTTGTTGAAACCATCTACAACTGCATAAGTAGAATGCTATCTAAATAAAACATCAGATGGTAGGCATCATGCCAAAGAAAATCTCCAGTTTCCTTCAGCTTGTTACAGATGACTTAACTCTTAAAACACCAGTCATTTGCAGCATCCCCTGCTTGTGAGACAAGTTTTACATCGGAAAAACTGGCTGTTTTGTTGGAAATAGGGTGATGGAGTACCATCCCCATATCCATCTTTACCATGCGGATAAGTAGGCTGTGGTTGACACAACACCTGCATTCTCCCCTGTATGACATGAGTATCCTGGCCAATAAATCCCAATATATGGACAGGACCATCAAAGAAGTGACACATCAAGCTGCAGCTTGTATCACCAGAGAGGATGGGTTCTCCCTGAGCAGGTCATGGAAGCCCCTTATTCACACCCTGCAAGAATGGTTGAAAGTTCTCTCCAAGCACAAGACTTCTTCTTGATCCAACCTTCCTCTTTGGCCCCTTAAAACAGACAACAGTCTCCCTGGTCTGATACATCTAACCCTATGTAAACCATCCATTTCCTGACACTCCTGTTTGCAAGCCTGAAGATGGATGTTCCTCTGGAATGTTGGCATAAGACAAAACACTGCACATCACTACACAAAGACCATAATATATATTCACATCGCCATGAAAATCTCAAATCCTACAAAATTTTTGAGGTTTGATTTGGTCTTCATGTATTGAGATGCATACAAATGTTTTATCACATGTTTATAATTATTACTTTCTTCTTTACCTTGGAAATGTTTTGGTGTTTAATGTATGGTGATACTTACAGGAACATCACCAAATAGTACATCATTTATTGCTTTGAGCAGAGGGTACTTGACACCATGACACTTTCCTAAGAAGTCATCTGTTTCCACACTCCATATCATGGCTCCTCCTAGATCATGTTGTACAACATACTCCGCCTAAAATTAAACACACAGGAATTGAAGGATTTCTAGAAAGAAACAATGAATATTCAGTATTACAACAGTTAATAACTTGCTTTTGTATCTGATGTTCAATTTAATCTGAAACTGGAAGCAGTGGACCCATCGGTATGGACTCTTTTGTAATTAGCTCCACATATTGTGTTTATACACAGTTGTAGTAAGGGAAGTGTGAGATAACTGGCCTTCAGATGGTATGTTAGATAGTTATAATGCACTACCATGGCACAGTTACGCAATCATTAAGTCAGTGTTATCTTTCAAGAATACAGAACTTTATTACAAGTCTAGTTATATTTCATAACTTAATATTATCATAAGTAATTCTTGTACAGTTTTATGCCAGGTGCCATGATCCAAGATACTTGGGTGTCTCACTTTTGAAAAGTTTCAACAGGGTTTAGGATCTGTAAAATCTTAAGTCAGTCAATGATTTTAGAATCCATTGTGGCAGTGTTTGTTTTATTGGCTGCTGAAGAAACTTTTTCTTGCCCCTTGCTGTTCTGATGTATTTAGCTAACAAATAATGTTGACCATTACAGGTTATCTCATCTATTCCTATCCATCATTAGACCATGATACTTATGTATGTACAGAAAATTTTAATATTTATTTAAAGAAAGTTTATATTCCATAGTGGGACTTCGGAAGCTCATGAGTATTCTTTACCATACAGATACATGTTCACTGTTTTCCTGAGAGGAAGGTTTGTAATGATAAAATTAGTTTGTATGCAAGATTTACATAACCTTAGATTTAATTGCTGAGTAGGCCTTTTGAGATTGGAATCAAGCAAATCTTCTAACAGCTCTTGGACTGATTTTGTAAGGGTATGTGATAATTAGTGATTCATTACACCATAGTTATATTGAACAATATACTTTATATGAGGTATATTTAATATACTTGTCATTTTGGAATTGTCTCTACTCCCGTATTTTAAGTTATTGTCACGATACTGACACATTCTTTTATTTTTGTATAAAGGGCAGTGACTGGACTCAAAGTTTGAACATTTGAATACTATATAATAAAACATACCTGTGAGTAAATGACAACCAGTCACCTGAAGACAGGAGTAAAGTTTCTGAAGATACTAAATATACCTCATGCAGTTTAAAATAAATTTTTTAATTGCATATAGTTTGTTTAAATGTTGCAAGTTTCTTTCATGATGCTTTAATTCTTATGTGAATGGCTTTCTTACCTTATGTGTTGTAGATCTGATATCATCATATCCAACCCACTGGTTTCCATTACAGGCATATGGCACCTTCTGTTGATCATCCCATTTCACATTCCATGTGCTTACTCTTTCACAGATCTGTAAAAATGGTAAAGTATATAATATTAAAGCTGCTGCAAAGTGTTGTCATGTAATCCATAATGATTCTGTGTATGTTTCATTCATATTAAAAATTACTGTGAACTGATTGATTCTGCACGCATTAATAGTTCTGAGTCTGCTTTTTACCCCCAAATAATGATGGTAGCTTGAAAGTTGCTCAGGAAGATATTTGGACATAGGAGGGATGAAATAAGTGGGGAATTTAGAATCTTGCATAATGAGGAGCTGTATGAATTGTATGGGTCACCTAGCATAGTGAGGATAGTGAAATCTAGGAGGCTGCAATGGACTGGACATGTAGCTCACATGAGGGAGGCAAGGGGTGCATACAGAATTTTGGTAGGGAATCCTATAAAACGCCCACTGGGCAGACCAAGAAGGAGAAGGGAGGATAACATCAAGATGAATCTTAGGGAGGTGGGCTGTGAGGATGGCAAATGGATTTAGCTCAGAATCATGGTCAGTGGCTGGCTTTGGTGTTAAACCTGCAGGTTCTGCTACCAGGAAGTTTGCTTGGGAATTGCTACTACCTTATTTTAACTGATGTAGTATTTAACATGCAATTCGTTTTTGAGTTGCCAATTTTTTCAGTAATTTTTCGTATGTGCGATTCTTTATTAGGTTATGTAATAATATTGTTTCAACTGCAAAAATTATATAACATTGAACGAGATGGAAAGTTTATCAAGAATGGTACGTAAGGATTTGAAAGGTAGTAGTTATGGCCTATTTTAATCTATTTTAGTATTAACTGAGGAAAACCATTTGACACATGAAACCCACATCCTGGCCAGTATTTGGAGCACTAGAATATACAGAATGTCCATAGCTTCACTACGTGCTCTTGGGATCATTTTGAGTAGAAAAGTTCAAATAAACGTGGGTCCGATCTGCAACGGTTTGTCAAGAAAATGCTCCGCTTTCACTATGCATCAGCTTCATCTGCGAAATTAGTTCACTGAGCAGCGCACGCAGGCAAGACATTGCAGTCAGTGCTTGACATCTCAGCGCTACTTGCGTTTTTTACATGAATAGATGTCATTGATATTGAAAGATGTTCCTCTGCTAACCAAGCAAGATATGTGGCTGCAGCAAGATGGCACACCTCTTCGTTTTGGCAGGCAGGTGACTGCACTTCTGGCCGAGGTGTTTGGCCAGCGAGGTCACCAGATATTTCGCCTTTGGATTACTTTCTGTGGGGTCACATGAAATCCCTGGTGTATGTCATTAAGTCAAACAGTAGGGCTGAGCTGCTGAATCGAATAATGGACTTCGGTGCGAACATTGAAAATGGTAATGACTCTGTGAAGAGGGCTATTACTTCAGTTACACGGAGGGTACAAATGTGCATCGACAATCAGGGTGGCCATTTCGAGTCACGCAAATAACGTAAGTAATTGAAAATGCAATTAGAGTGTAGTCTTATCATAATAATAATTCAATTCAATTCAATTCTGTATTATTAGTGTTGTATCAACAGCCAGAAGGCTAAATAATATTAATAACACCATGACCTAAAATTTAATGGAAAAAGTGTAAAAATTACAAACGCAATGAAATGCTCATTTTCTTGACAAACCGTTGCAGATCGGACCTTTGTTTATTTTAACTTTTCGACCCAAAATGATCTCAAGAGCACATAGTTAAGCTATGGACATTCTTTATAAGTCTAGTTCATTGCGGGTACATCATCCTGCTCGGTTCCTATTTTGTTCAGATTTCATTGTTAGGCTTGCTGTTTTGTGTTCATAATTTCTTCCATCTTAATGTAAGAAAGAAATAATGTATTTCACTTATACGCATACTACTTGGTTTCATATGATTAGTTTAACTAATTTCATGGCTCAGGATCTTGCCAAAATGTTATAATTGTTCAGCTGGTTAAGTAATTCCCTGCTTTTATGGAACCAAAAGGTTTATTTGTATGTTCACAGAAGCCCACCATTGAACCCTATCCTGAATCAGTTTATTAATTAAAAGATGCCTGTATAAGTGCCTCAAAAATATAATAAAACTTCTGTGTAGGTATGCAACAAGAAATTTAATTTCAGCTTTTATCCAGTTTTGCACCTGTTTAAGCAGCTATTAGTCTCAGTTGATCTCCTGTTTTGTATTATTTCCACCTGTATGAAAATTCCTGCTTATTTTCTACCTCCGTAACATAAATTCAGAAGTTTGGAGCAAAATGGTGTAGTCTTATTTTAGTAGAATTGTGAGTGATTGTTTTGTAACTATGATTTCTGTCTGGAAACCATTATTTTTGTTATTATCACTGACCACATGAAGTGTCAACATGATTTGTGAAAGATGGCTGTCTTCTGGGTTTTAGTGCTGTGTAGTCTGGTAGAAATTTACCAGTGTTTCAGATGTGCTTGCTGTCTCCATCATCAGGGCCTCCATGGAGGCAGCATACACCTCTGTAATTTCAGTAAACTTTTAGCAGACTACGTACTTTCATACTTTCTGCTGTGATAACATTAAATCTCTTGAAGATTTCTGTCTTCTGGGTTCTTGCGCAACAACCCAGAAGACAGAAATCTTCATACTCACCGCTGTGAAAACCTCAAATCTTACATTAAATCTCTTCATGATTTTTGAAGGTTTTTATGTCCCCTTAATATGGACAGAGATAGGCACATATATTGAACTACTATAAATACAATGTTCAGCACAAAATTTAAGAATGCTAGTGCGTGTGTGCGTGTGCATATACATATATGTGTTGAAGGGAATTTGCTTCTTAATGGCTGTCTCCTGGGTTGTAGCGCCATGTAGTCTGATAGAACCTCTGAAACGGTAAATTTCTACCAGCTTACATGGCACCACACCCCAGAAGACAGTCATCTTTTTACTTACTGCTGTGAGAACCTCAAATCCTACTTTTATTGCTTCTTAGTTGATTTAATGACCTTTCTCAACCATATAGGTTATGTAGTGTTTGGTGGGATATGCTTGTGAACAAGTACTTCAGGATATGGAATAATACATGATGATCTTCTGGTTTTGGCACTGTGTATACACATCAGTAGATATCAGCATTTCATAGAAACATACTGTCTCCTTGACAAGTGTGCATGGAACCAAAACCCATAAAAATAAAATCATAATCCTCTCTGCCATGAAAACCTTTTATGTCACACAGCTGTAGCCTATTTTAGCGTACTATCCCATCATTTACCTGAGAGGACTGGTAGACCTCTGGGCCAAAAATCAAACCTAGGACATCCATTAAAAAGCAAGACTGCCAGCCACTCACCTGTCTTGTTTAATCAATCAGAAGGCTTCTGTTGTGTTTGGACACCTTATCATCACAGATAACCAGTTCATTTATAATTTTATAACTATGAGCAAAGTAATTTGTGTAACATACCTCATTATATCCAAGAGCACCTGCCTCTCTTGTGTATGGTCCAGCACTTCCTGCTCCAATTGTTGGGGCCCCAATGCTGCACTGGGACGCACTACTTAAGGTAAAAGAACGTCCATACGTGCCAATGCCCAGTATAATCTTCTCACGTGGAGCCCCTTGCGTGATCCAGTATTGTATGGCAGCATCCTAACCAAAGAAATATTACCACATTTTACATCGTCATCATCAAAGAATATTTAGTAATATTTGTGTCTAAATGATAAATAACAACATACAGAAGAACATGTATAAAATTATATCAAAAAGGAAACTGTATTACTGTTTTTGTGAAGGGGGCAGATTCTGACTGTAACTGCAACCATTAACCAGTTCATTGTGAAGCCTATATATGATGCATGAATATGAGTGAATATGGGACTGTTGGAAAGATAATGACAGGAAAACTGAAGGACTATGAGAGAAACCTGTCCCAGTTCCATTTTGTCAACCAGAAATCCTACATGAACTGCCGTGGGTGTATATCCAGGCCTCATGATGAGAAGCCAGTGACAAACCTCCTGACCTATGGCGCAGCCAGGAAATTGCAGGAACTTGAGACATGATGGAAGGAAAATACGAGATACTTTGTTTCATGTACAGTTATGAGTGAAGTTAATTTCCCTGTGTTTGAAATGTTTCAGAATTTAATATGATAATCATAGCTGTCAAAATTCATCATCTATATGTAATGAATGCCGTGTTTCTCTGATTTTTGCACAAGACTATATCCATTAAATATTTGGTGTAATTAGAGTTATACTAAGAACTAAGAGTCACTTGCATAATAAAATGTCTTTACTGGTATAAGCAGTGAATGACTTTAGATCTGTAATCACTACTTACCACAGTGAGACCATCATTGGGACCACCATACAATGGGGCACTGTGCCCAGTTACAGGATCCCACGATCCATGCAGATCATAGGTCATAACATTAATAAAATCCAGGTACCTGAAGAGATAAGTCACAGTAAAAATTTTTGTTCTGTGGCAAGTGCTTGATTTTGTCTCCATCTTAGATTAAAATGATTAAATCAAGGAGTATGAGATGGACAAGACTTGTGGCATGACACGAAAAACACATAAAAAAATTTCATTGGAAAATTCAAAGTGAAGAAACCACTTTGGAGATGTTGATGAGTAGATAATATTAAAATGCATGTTTGATAAATGGGATGTGATGGTGGTGTTAGATAATAAGAGCATGGCCTCATTTCACTATTCTATATTCATTATTTAACAGTTTTATTTCAACTGCAGAGGTTACATGATGAGTAGGTGAGAATTTTGGAACGAGGCAGTTGTGACGAGTTTCAAGGTACTATGAGAGCATTAACATGGAGAAAGTTATAGACTCTATGAGGCTTCCTTCCCCCCCCAATTTCCATTAGGATAGCTTGTAACCTGACCAAGATTTGAACTGGTTATCTTTCAAATACAGGTCTTTGTTGGGTTTAATTCATACCTGATAGTATTATCATCTGCATAGGAATATGATAAATATGTCAATGTTGAGGTAATTTTATGTTCAGCACAAAATTGAAGAATGCTAGTGTGTGTGTGCATATGCATATATGTGTTGAAGGGAATTTGCTTCTTAATGGCTGTCTTCTGGGTTGTAGCGCCATGTAGTCTGATAGAACCTCTGAAACGGTAAATTTCTACCAGCTTACATGGCACCACACCCCAGAAGACAGTCATCTTTTTACTTACTGCTGTGAGAACCTCAAATCCTACTTTTATTGCTTCTTAGTTGATTTAATGACCTTTCTCAACCATATAGGTTATGTAGTGTTTGGTGGGATATGCTTGTGAACAAGTACTTCAGGATATGGAATAATACATGATGATCTTCTGGTTTTGGCACTGTGTATACACATCAGTAGATATCAGCATTTCATAGAAACATACTGTCTCCTTGACAAGTGTGCATGGAACCAAAACCCATAAAAATAAAATCATAATCCTCTCTGCCATGAAAACCTTTTATGTCACACAGCTGTAGCCTATTTTAGCGTACTATCCCATCATTTACCTGAGAGGACTGGTAGACCTCTGGGCCAAAAATCAAACCTAGGACATCCATTAAAAAGCAAGACTGCCAGCCACTCACCTGTCTTGTTTAATCAATCAGAAGGCTTCTGTTGTGTTTGGACACCTTATCATCACAGATAACCAGTTCATTTATAATTTTATAACTATGAGCAAAGTAATTTGTGTAACATACCTCATTATATCCAAGAGCACCTGCCTCTCTTGTGTATGGTCCAGCACTTCCTGCTCCAATTGTTGGGGCCCCAATGCTGCACTGGGACGCACTACTTAAGGTAAAAGAACGTCCATACGTGCCAATGCCCAGTATAATCTTCTCACGTGGAGCCCCTTGCGTGATCCAGTATTGTATGGCAGCATCCTAACCAAAGAAATATTACCACATTTTACATCGTCATCATCAAAGAATATTTAGTAATATTTGTGTCTAAATGATAAATAACAACATACAGAAGAACATGTATAAAATTATATCAAAAAGGAAACTGTATTACTGTTTTTGTGAAGGGGGCAGATTCTGACTGTAACTGCAACCATTAACCAGTTCATTGTGAAGCCTATATATGATGCATGAATATGAGTGAATATGGGACTGTTGGAAAGATAATGACAGGAAAACTGAAGGACTATGAGAGAAACCTGTCCCAGTTCCATTTTGTCAACCAGAAATCCTACATGAACTGCCGTGGGTGTATATCCAGGCCTCATGATGAGAAGCCAGTGACAAACCTCCTGACCTATGGCGCAGCCAGGAAATTGCAGGAACTTGAGACATGATGGAAGGAAAATACGAGATACTTTGTTTCATGTACAGTTATGAGTGAAGTTAATTTCCCTGTGTTTGAAATGTTTCAGAATTTAATATGATAATCATAGCTGTCAAAATTCATCATCTATATGTAATGAATGCCGTGTTTCTCTGATTTTTGCACAAGACTATATCCATTAAATATTTGGTGTAATTAGAGTTATACTAAGAACTAAGAGTCACTTGCATAATAAAATGTCTTTACTGGTATAAGCAGTGAATGACTTTAGATCTGTAATCACTACTTACCACAGTGAGACCATCATTGGGACCACCATACAATGGGGCACTGTGCCCAGTTACAGGATCCCACGATCCATGCAGATCATAGGTCATAACATTAATAAAATCCAGGTACCTGAAGAGATAAGTCACAGTAAAAATTTTTGTTCTGTGGCAAGTGCTTGATTTTGTCTCCATCTTAGATTAAAATGATTAAATCAAGGAGTATGAGATGGACAAGACTTGTGGCATGACACGAAAAACACATAAAAAAATTTCATTGGAAAATTCAAAGTGAAGAAACCACTTTGGAGATGTTGATGAGTAGATAATATTAAAATGCATGTTTGATAAATGGGATGTGATGGTGGTGTTAGATAATAAGAGCATGGCCTCATTTCACTATTCTATATTCATTATTTAACAGTTTTATTTCAACTGCAGAGGTTACATGATGAGTAGGTGAGAATTTTGGAACGAGGCAGTTGTGACGAGTTTCAAGGTACTATGAGAGCATTAACATGGAGAAAGTTATAGACTCTATGAGGCTTCCTTCCCCCCCCAATTTCCATTAGGATAGCTTGTAACCTGACCAAGATTTGAACTGGTTATCTTTCAAATACAGGTCTTTGTTGGGTTTAATTCATACCTGATAGTATTATCATCTGCATAGGAATATGATAAATATGTCAATGTTGAGGTAATTTTTTAACTCATCATTAAAGAAACCAAAGTTGACCCATTTTTGTGCATCTGATAAAAAATGTTCCTTTTTGTTAACGAAATTATAAAACAGCAAAACAATGCAGTGGAATTTAGATTTATGGAGAAATTGTGACTTACTTTCCCACTTCAAGAATGTTGTACGATAAACTTGCACTGGACTCTGCGGACGCTACAGCTGCAGACAGTAGTAATCCATGTTCATCAAATTTTACACGAAGTTCCTTAAGTAGAAGTATAAAGGCAGCCTGAAAGAAATTAATTGTGTTTACTGCCGAAGTGGGCAAACATAGTCTATTAGTCAGCAGTGCCATTGCCCATAAACTTCACACAAGGAAAGAAATTAGTTTTGTGTGATGATTGAAGCAGCTTTGTGGATCTTATTTGTTTGTTCCATGAAGTCATAGAGGTTTTGTCTAGAAATAGGATTTATTATCTTTTGATTTTTAAATAGTCATTTATTTTATTGGTATAAAATGTGAATGTAGTTACAGTAATGTAACCCCTTGAGTACTGATGCTTTAAATTGGCTTGTAGCTTTCTCCTGCTGGATTCCCTTGACATCTGCCATTCAGTTTGTATTCATAGATCAGCTTTCAGAGTTTGTATTTTAGGAATTCTTTCCAAATGTGTTTGCCTTTCCTTTTGATACATTTTATGGCTGTGTTGATATCTGTTATTCTCACAAAAGTAAAATCTGTTAATATAATAAGAGTCTAACTGAAGACAAGAGTAAATCCAGCTGCTGAAACATAATACATGTGTGTACATACCTCAAACAATGAACTGTATTCAGTGTGCAGTGAGATCTACATACTACTATGCAGTGGATTCTTTTCTGTTAACATCCGAAAACAAATATACAAATTTAACATTATTTTAATAGGAGTGAACATACCTTGTCAGTTGCTGCCCCTCCTCGTTGAGCAGGATATTCCCAATCCAAGTCAAATCCATCAAATTCATATTGTTTAACAAAGTCAACAATATTTTTTACGAACGCAGCCCTTCGAGTAGCATCGTTCACCACCTGGAAATAAGTGTCACAGAGTGCAGAAATGTTGGTTTATACAAACAGTTTAATCAGTTGTTGTCCTCCATGGCAGTTACAACATACGTATCTTTTAAATGTGGAATGTTTCCAATTTTTGCCTCTGTTTCACAAGTGGTCTTTTCCCTTGAGATTTTGTGACCATAATTTTTATATAATACTAATCTTAACTGGCCATGCTATTGCTTAGGAACTGACTTCTTAATATGGAGCTCTTGATTCAGTCCCAAGGTAGTCTGTGTGAGCTTTTTGGTGGATGAAGTGGCATTGGATCAGGCTTTTTCTTGAGTGTTTTGATTTTTTTGCCACCAATGCTTCAAATTCATTTATCACCCTGACCAGTCCAGCCATTATCACAAAATTTGTGTTTGGCTGAGGCTTCCTTCATTTCTGACCTGGCACTTAGAACAATGTCTGTTATTGTTCACGTGTATGTGTAACAACCTCTGCACAAGTGAATTTTATAAGATATATTGCAGTCATACGCTCATTATCATCATGTCAGATGCTAAATGCTTTGGAAACTACTTACTGATGAGTAAGTGGAGGATCCTTCATTCCAGCCACCAATTGCAACTGAAGTCTTCAGTGAAGGATTCCTTTTCTTCAGATCATTAAAACGTCTAAAGCCACCTAAAACAAAAACAAAATAATGTTGCGAAGTTACCATTAGCAGATTGAATCTGGAAATGGTTTGTGCTCACTGTCATGAGAACCTCATATCCAGCTTGAGAAATTCTTGCTGCCATTCATTTCAAATTATTTTATCTTTCTGTATTCTAACCTTAAAGACTAAATGTATAGAATTGTGTAATTTTATTTCTTGTGTGGGTTTTCAACTGTCTCACATTATGGGAGACCGATGGTGTTTGGTAACAAAGTTCTGAGGGAGGTATTTCATCATCATCATCAGTGGCTCTACAACCCGGAGTGGGTCTTGACTGCCTCTACTGAGGTTTCCTAGTTTTGAAGTGTACGTTTGTGAGTAGTGAGTGACCATCCCACTGACTCTGCACAATTTGTACTCAATCCTGATTTGACTGCCAGAGCCATCTAGCAGTGAATCAGGAGACTTTTGGGTGAGAAATGGCCGCTGAATTTTTACTTCCCCTCAAAGGAAGTTGTGCTACGAATTTTTTTCACCCTTAAAAATCTATCGACCTAGGCCAGGATTGAACCCGCAAACCTTGGGTCCAGTGGTGAGCACGCTAACCACTAGTCACCAAGGGTGACGAGGAAGATATTTAAACCTGTGAAAGGTGATCTTATATAACAGATTGATACATTGATAAAATCAAGAAGGATGAGATGAGTCAGACATATTTGCATACACCAAAGAAAGGAAAAGCACATAAAATTTTGGTGAGAATACTTCAATGGAAGAGAGAATTTGAGAGACCTCAGCATAGATGAGTTGATAACATTACAACAAATTTTGGGTAAACGAAGTATAAAGGTGTGTGCTTGATTCAGTTGCATGCCCTACCTATCTTCTTTTTATGGAGCTTATCATCCCAGTAACAGGTGAAGGGCACAGATTAAAGAGCTTCTTTTTTGTAATTTACTTTGTTCTCATGTTAATTCTCTGTTGTTATTCATTTATTGTGGTTAATCTAATAGTCTAGCTTGTGATGCCATTGGAGTTCTACAAAATATGGGTTAGGAATATACATATTTAAAGGTTGTTTTAAGTAGTAATTTTGCAGCCATTACATCAGGAACATCCATCTTCTACAGTTCTGACATTCATATCTATGCATAGCTAGAAATAGAACTTGTAAAACTTGTATTAAAAATACACCAGCACATTTACAGTGCTTGGAAGTGGATTAGTCTGTTTATCATCATGCAGGTTCAGTAGGATTGTTCAAATAATTCTGCCAGCCACACATTCTTTGCATGGTTAGAATTTCTGACTATATCAGTCATGTGGTTGTCTACTTACCCTTATCTATTTCATTCCAACTATCCAGAATCCGGATGCCTCCGTTATATTCAATGCCTACAAAGGTGTAGATGACATGAGTGCAGAGGTTAGGGTCGATATATTCAATCTCAAACTTGCCATCTCCTGGTCGATATACTGACCAGCTCCCGTGGTAACAAACCACCTTTCCTGCAATAGTGTGTAACATTGTACAGTAATTAATGTAAGCATACATTATTAATGTAGTAGATATATAGTGAATATAGTAAGTGTTTAGTAGAATTAATATAATGTGTAATGGTATATATAATTTCAAGCTGGACTCATGTAACATACTAAATCATGGTACTAGTTTATCCTTTTGCCACCTCAAATGTATTTCCCCTGTTTACTTCTTTTGTGATATAAATAATAGCACAAAAATGCTCATTCCTGCCTTCAAGAATCTTACTTCATTTTTTAACACAGAATTATTGACCAGTTACATTGAAATATACAAGGAGGAGCACAAGTCAGTGAACCCTTTGAAGAGTATACTGTGTTACTGTTAAAAACAATATTATCTGTTTTAGTCATGAAATTGGAGTAACAATTTTATGTTAAGAATTTACTGTGTCATTATTTTCTTACAGTTTTGTCAAAATGTCCTGCTGACTAGGATATTTGAGATATAGCTACATCTATCTTATATGTTATCCTTAATTGTACCACAGGGGAAAAAATCCATTGGGAAAGGACATAAAGATGCTTACTTTTGGCTGTAATGGGGACAGCAAGGTTAAAAAGTGTGATAGCAGCTCCAAGAATTAGCAGCCAAGTCTTCATTGTGTCAACCTGCAAGATAATTGGCAGACTGTAACAGTGTTTCTATTGTTTTGTGTGCATGTAATGTCTCTTCCCCTAATATTATCAGGTTGATTAAGTCAAGAAGAATGAGATGGGCAGGGCATGTGGCACTCATGGATGGGGCAAGAGGTGTGCACCGGGTATTGGTCGGGAAGCTTGAAGGGAAGAAATCGCTGGGGAGACCTAGACGTAGATGGGAGGATAACGTCAGGCGGGATCTATGGGAGATAGGAGTTGAAGGAGACTGAATTTTGTTGGCCCAAGACAGAATCTGGTGGAGGGCTTTGGTTAATTCGGTGATGAACCTTTGGGTTCCATAAGCCATCTAGTTAGTAGTCAGTGGCAGTTTCTTCTTAGGCAGTTTTCTGCACATCATTGTGCCGAGTCACATTAACCCTAGTTCTGTCCCAAACATGTTTCTCTTTGTAATTAACTTTTAAAATAATACAAAACTTCAAAATATTTTGGTGAAGATGCAGTAACAATGAATACTTGTTAATAAAATAATCAGGTAACCAGGTTCAGTTTCTGGAAGAGACAGAATTTTTCTTTGTCACCATGCCTATACTAGTCCTGGAGCTGACCATGTCTGCTGCAGAGTGAGAGCCCGGTTCTGTTCCCATGGGAGTACAGTGGGTGGAGCATGGAACTGACCACTCACCTCCATCTAATTTTGATGTTAAAAATTCATGGAGCCTTACCACCACTCGCCATGTGCCTTCATGATATGATCCAAACAATAAACTTTAAATTTATTTGTATCCAACAGAAATTTTATACATATATCATATGTGAGACATGCAATAAAACTTTTATAATTTATGTACATTGAATATTTTAGAGCTGCACAAATATAAGCATATATGCCATGTAGAATGCACATTTCAAAGTCTCTGTTAATGAAAATTTAAAAGAAACTGTTGTAGTAGAAAACAGCTTACCTGGGTAGATGTGTTTCATGAAACTTCTCGGTTGGATTTACAGTGAACGTTTTTATGCAGCTTCTTTAAATACCCTTCGTGATAACAAGGCTTAACATGTGACTGTTTACTAATGTACCTGCTGTAAACATAGATAATGGAAGATAACTTGAAACAATAAGACATTTTTACTATGGTTTATGACTCTAATTTTTTAACACTTCCAGCTAGGTAAAGGGTATAGTTGTCCTTGTGCTTACTTACGGACTGCGTTATGAATCTGTATGGGGAAGTAGAGATATCCGTGGCGTAACAGCTCCAGAGAGCCAAAGCCGTCTAGCTTTACTGCTGGCCTCACTTTCACATGCCTAAGCAGAGGTGAACGATCATCCAACCAGATATAGGGTGATGTGTGGTCAGCACGACGAACCCCCAGCCATTGCTAGCTTTCCTGACCGAATTACGCTACTCATTGTAGCTCCCCAATTTCCTCACGATGCTGGGTTGGCACCGGTCCCATACACCAGTCGAAAATCTCATGAGAAAATTTCTTCTCCCCCGAGACTCGAACCAGCACGCATTCCGTATCGTCGGTCCGAAGCATGATGCCTCAGACCGTGCGGCTATGGCGCAGGACATGTATTCTTGGCCTCAGCAAGTGGTCAGATTCACATTCTATGTGCTTTATCCTCGGATCTCATTGGATAGGAGCTTGGTTAGACGCTCGACATTGATGTGGTTGTGAAATTGAACACTGCATCCTCTGTCAAGGATCAGACACCAGTAACCCAGTCTGCAGACAGTCTCCGCACTGATTGAACATGGTACATTCTGTCTGAAAATGTTTGAATATGCAGATTTACTATTTGTATATACCTAGTTGCATTCTAGACTTTCACATTAGATAAATATGAGTGGCCATTGTGCTTTGGCCAACATCACTTCTGGGAAAGAAGTCTCAATGTGTATTGCATAAGAGGCTGAGTGAGATGCAGGCAATGTTGCTGTGCTAGTGAAGAGAACTTCAAACTGATGTTAAAAAAATGTCCAAAATATTATCCCAAATCATAAATCTAGAAGGTTGTGTTTTTGGAATAAATGGAAATGGGCCTCCCTTTACATGTTCTTTGCACAAAGTACATGAAAGGAATGCAGAATGAGGCAGTCATATCCATCCATCATTCCATTTGCATATTTCATACTGTGAATTACCCAAGCAGATGTTGATCAAATTTAGCATGGACAGTCTACATTAGCAGTTGTGAGGCAAATTTGATGGTTATTTGAATGAATCCAATATAATTCTTACATTACAATAAGCTCGAGTAATACTTTATTCTCAAAAATATCATCATACAAATGAGTAATAGGGGACATAATTCTCACAACTTTTATTTGAAACATTTTTTTGTGTGTTTGTGTGTACAATAAGCTCTCATTATCTGTTGACTTTGAATTTGTCATTTCCCATATCCCTTAGTTACTCTTTAACACCATTATTTTCTGAATCTGTTGATTTTTAATTGCATGTTTAAGCGTGAAATTAAATTTAGGATTATTATAAATGTGAAAGCTGATCTTTGCTGCTGCAAGAAGTCCTCGTAGAAATGAAGAAGGCTAGAATCCAAGTCCAGTTTATTTTTTCAAGAGGACACATAATTCACAGCCCTCAACTTCTGCACTTAAGTTTCTTATTATATTACATATTTTCTTAAAATTTATATGTGTGTGTGTAAAATATCCATTATTTAATAAATCATTATTAAACTATTGTAAATTTGTATGTATCTTTACATGTATGTGTAAAATATGCATCTATTTAATAAATCATTATTTAAGTAATGTAAATTTTTAGATAGGATATGAGGTTTTCATGGTGGTGATTCCAATGATGGCTGTCTTCTGGGTTGTTGTGATGTGTAGTCTGGTAGAAGTTTACCAACGTTTCAGAGGTCCATGCTGCCTCCATCATCAGGGTGATGAGTAAGCTGCGTGCCTGGAAACAGTTTGAGTTATAGGAGACTGACAGTCATGGAAGAGCCTTGGCCCAGCAAGTGGCGACCGGAGTCAGAATTGAGCAAGGGCCTGGGAACCAATAGTAGCAGGGGGGGTGCCACAGCCTGGCTAGCAGAAAGGGGGTAAGAACATGAGGGAGAGGGGTCCGAGATAGAGGCTGTTATAAGGGCCCTTTGGGGTCTGGCAGGTGGATCACTGGACATATGGGAAGTGGATTGATGTGATGAGGAACAAGGAGAGTGGAAATAAGGACTGACTGGGGCCAGATGAGGGAGGGGCTTCCATTACCGACTTAGGTAAATGTTATGAAGATTTCTGTCTTCTGGGTTGTTGCGCTGTATAGTCTGGTAGATGTTTACCAACGTTTCAGAGGTCATACTGCCTCCATCATCAGGACGATTCATCTACCAGACTACACAGCGCAACAACCCAGAAGACAGAAATCTTCATACACACCGCTGTGAAAATCTCAAATCATACATAAATTTTTATGCTTATTTATCTCAATACAAATTAGTTTCATGTTCAATTATATGATTTCCCATGAACAAATTGTCATTTCAACACAGGATTCAATACTTTTGTTTTCTTATGTGTTGCATTTTTAATGAACCATTGAATAATGGATGTTGAGTTTTACTTTATGTAACAAAATACAAAGGAAAATAATTTAACTGTATACTGCAATATTTGTAGTGTGATTAGCTTTGCAGTGATAGATTTATATTTGCAATAAAACAACATCAAGGTTGGTGAGATATGTAAAATCTCAAAGGAAGTTTCTTGAAAGTGAGTACTCTACTGAGTATACCTTTCTGCTTTGGTGTAATGGGTATGGTTGCCCATCCACACATTTCATTTCTTAAATTACTTGACAGATTTTGGTTAAATTTGATATTGGGGTCTACACTGAAGTTTGATTTTTCAGGGTCTCATGGTGAAGAGTATTAAAATGGCTGTTTTCTGAGATGTTTCACCCAGATGATGGAAGCAGTAAGCACCTCTAAGACATCAGCTAGTTTTTACAGAAATATGTGGTGCCATATCTCATAATACAGTTATCTTCGTATACTAATTAGATGGGAAAATTTAAGTTTTGTTTGTGTAGGTCCACTATAATCCTTACTTTATTTAAATCAACCATAGTGTTCTAAAAAATTCTTACTATACAGAAATTTATATATATCATAAAACATAGAGCTTATTAATATTTACAGCTATTATTTTAAACTTTTATTTTTTAGTATCGTGAATATTTGATATTGTCAGTAAAATTAATGTAGAAATCTGCAGTGTTCTTTGTGACAATAATATTGTCTGTGTAATAAATGAACATGTTTACACTCTTCTTTAATTCAGCATTCATATAAAATTTAAAATTTGGGTGAATTTGCTTTTCTCATAAAAAGTGTTAGAACACCAGTATGCTGCACATTAACTTTGAATTGTCTTGAAAACTGTGCTGTTCAGTCATCGTAGTCTAGCACTCAAAATGGTGCAAGATTTGTGACACGGTTATACCACATATAATTTGTGCTGGAGGAGCTGCCTATGTGGCTAGTTTAATGATCGTAAGCTATTTCCTAGATGTTGTTCTCCACTCAAGTGAATACTACACAACTCATGGCCATTGCTCATGTCACACCACACTAGCTGTAAATTTTGTGTAATTTTATGCTGTTTGTCATCAGAGACTTGAATTTCAAGGAGTGCAGGAGAATTTCCAAGGGGTAACATTGTATGTAGGTAAACAAAAGATTTGAGTGATGGGGAAGGGCAACGGACCCATTATTATCCATTTCTATCATTCCTGTTTATTACCTCTGTCTCTGTCTTTTTCCCCTTCTTCTTCTCCCAAGATCTCTTTGGTCTTCCTCATACTCTGTGATGTGTAATTTTATAATCCCATGTTATTCTAACAGCATGCCTCAAAGTGATATCTTGGCAAAGGCTTGTAAATGGTACAGATCTTGAATCGGAATAGCTAGTCATGGATGGGAGTGGTCCACTATTAGGTTATTTAAAAGTGCTATTTCATCTGCAGAGATAAAGTAGATGGCTCTGAATGATAAATAGGTAAGGACTTGGAAGGAAGTGGTCATGGTATACTTTAAGTTAGTAGTAATAGCCTGTCTGAAATTCAAACTATTTACCTTCCAAACTTTGATGTGGAACATTATCATCTGTTGGTCCAGATGAGAATTCATACCAGCTACAAGTGAGAAATGAGCCCACAAGCCTCACTGTTCAAATATAATATAGGAAGAAACTAGTCATGTTTTCCACTTCATAGAATTTAACATGTTGATCTAATCAGTGTACAACCCTTGACATTGAAGAATGACTGGATATAGGAACGGACAATCGATGTTCAATTAATACAAGGAATGCACAATACATTGGAATCTATGGACAGCATCCTTGAATATGTGTTTAGAGATTTTTAAAAATGAGGTTAAGTTCACTTCTTCATTATGGGTTTTATTTTAAGAAAGTAATTACTGTACACATTTCTGTGGTAATGCATAATTTCTGCTGGTGAAAAACTAAAGTTACCTGTTGAGAGGTGGCAGGACATGTTTTGTTCACTGGTTTTCTGAAACACCACATAAATCCAAGGATTTTAAATCATACATAACCTAGAAAGTGTCAATCGTTAATGAGAGGATCTCTGATTCTTTTTTTAATATTTTTTGGTTAATTATTGAAACTGTTCAGGACTGATTTGATGGTTGATCTCGTGCCATTGTATGAATCAGTTTGAGTCTGTGAAAACTGTTTAAGTTAGAAGAAATCCCTGATAATGAGGGAGAAACATCTGTCCTACAACGGTGTGTAATAAAAATTACACAACATACTGTTATCTATCATATGACTTATTTTAATTACACACACAGATTAAGCTGCTGTCATGGTAGTGCTGTAGATGTGTATTTGGAAGGCAGCTGGTTCAAATCTTGGCTGGGTAGCCATCTCTCCTTACTAAAGTATTCCATGGTCTTAACCAAGCATTGGAACCAAGCGGTTAGGACTCCTATTTTGTATTTGTTATGTCCAAGGTTGAAGTTTCATCCTAGAGAGCAGCTGCAT